TTCTCTGCAAAGGGCTATGGCCATCTGCAGGTCTACTGGGGTGTTGGAGTCCCGGGAGGTCTGCTGAATCCCATGGTGGCTGACTACTTGATGCTCCTCCTGTGGTTGCTGCCTGTTTAATCCTAATTTTGAAGCCTGATTGCTGAGTGAATACTAAACTGGTTTTCTCCCTGTTTATATCCTCTTCAGTGGCCCCTACTCTACAAATCTAACTGGACTTTTAAAATCTTGTCTAGTGCCTAGTTCATTCCCTTTTTGATCAGAATAATGAGCTCAAGCCCAACACAGGTAACTGGGGAGCTCAGTCCTGATTGGTCCATTTATGATCCTCATGCCAGATACAAAGTTTCAAAAACCCTGCACCTACACAGACTTGACCTGCACTGAGGATCCTGCAGGTTCTAAGCAAGTGGGTTCTGGGAACCCACTGCTGGAGCCAGTTTTGGTGGGTGTCAGAGGCACTTGACCCCTTAGAAGGGCCAGATGTAACAGTGTACAGGGGGGTAGGGTCAGTGTACAGTAGCATTGGGGCACGGGTCCCAGCTGCTGAAGGGTGGGCTCCACTGGTAGTTTCCATGGCCCAGCGCTCTGCAGGCCTTCTACTGCCTGTCCTCCATGGGAGCCCAACATTTCTCCTCAAGGCCTAAAGCCTCAAAGCCTCTGCTGCTAGAGCCTCAGGGCTGCATGCCCTGGGATGGCAAGGGGTAGAAACCACTTCTTTATTGGCTCTACCAGCCTCCTTCAGAGCTGCCAGGGCACCACTGCTGAAGCCCCTGCAGGGCTGCTCACAGAGGGTGGCAGGCAATGGGTGACACCCCACCGCCTTTTCATGGCAATCTGCCAGCCTGCAGCTTGCACACGGTAGGGTAGGAAACCACCACTGCCACTCCATCTGCTGCCACCGGAGCATTAGGTTGTTGTAAAGCTGTTCATGACTCTCAGCCACTAGGTGCCCTAGGGCACACTATTACAGTTCCTCCCTTGAGGCATTTACCATTAAGAAATGAGAATAGGGGGCCCTCCCTGGTGGCTCAGCAGGTTAAAGCACAGCACTAAGAACCTAAAGTTACTTCAGTATGAGTTCGATCCCCAGTCCCAGAGGTGACACACATGGCATGACAGATCTCTCCTGACCTGCCCGCTGCTCCCCTCAGCAGTGTACTTCATGGATCTACCTCTTCTGCTCCCCACTCTGTCTCTGGTGAATCCTGTCACCGCCACTGCACCTTTGGCTTGTACCACAGTTTTATAAGCATAAATAAATAAATCTTTAAAAAAAAAAAAAGAAATGAGAATAGTCCTTGGATTTTGTGCTGCCTGGATCTTGAAAAACACAAGAGAGTAGTGGGGCAGAGACAAAGGAAAAAAGAAAAAAAATGCAACAGAGATACACTCTTACAATACCAGAACTGTAAATAACATTCCCAAACAGACTGGGAGAGTCACCAGTACACAGGTGCCTACATATGTTCTTTCTCACCTACCCAATCAGACAGATGAGAAACATGATGCAAGTGCCATACAAAGCCAGAAATGAACACACACTGGTTGTATGCGTATATACAAATTCATCTAGACATGTAGGGCCTATAGAGATACACGCACATATATGCAGCTTACATGTACATGGCGGTCCCTTAAGGCAACTGTCACATATCATCACACTCACAGATTCAGAGTCTCATTTGTGAAGTTCAGGTGCACACAGTCCCACATCATCCCAGGCTTCTGTTCTGGGGTTACTAGTGAACTCAACAAAGGCGTTCCAGAACAGCTACGTTTATATGAGCACTGGCCATAGGTGTCAAGTACAGCCTATGGTTAAATATACCTGGGATCAAGGGGGGAATCCGAAAAGTTTTCAGTCTGCACAATTCCAATCCACTCCAGACCAGCTTGCAGTAGGAAACTGATATAGGTTTCCCCTGCTAACCAAAAGTAGAGCGTCCCATTAATCAGTTTGTAAGCTGAAGAAGAAATTACCAATAAATTTTTAAATATAATAGTTTATTTTTACATCATTTTGTACATTTTTTTATCGCAATTATAATCCCCGTGGGTTTCCCATCACCAAGTCACCCATGTGCCATCACCATAGTCCAGTGCACTTCCCTCCCCCCACTGTTTGTGATCCCATTCCCCAGTCCACCCCCATAAAATGTCTGGTATATAGCTGTTAATTATTATTATTATTTTCTCACCTGTTAAGAAATAAAGTACCCCATATTTTTCCTTTTCTTTCTGGCTTATTTCACTAAGCATGATCTTTTCCAGCTCCATCCATTTTGCTGCAAAAGACATGTGTTTTTTGTTTTTTTTTTTGTTTGTTTTTGGTTGCTGAGTAATATTCCATTGGATATTACCAATAATTTATATGAAAAAACTTACAGCATTTGCAGACCCAACAACTTAAAATAACAAAACATACCATGAAAGCAGGAATAATATGGTACATAAAGCAAAGTGTACACAGGGAAGATCCCAAGGAATTTGTGCTCTAAGCAATTTTCCCTGCTTATAGCACAGCTAGCTAGCTCCTTCAGAAGGTATGCTTGCAAAATATGTACTGAATGTTCTTTCTGCCTTTTCTTGTAAACCAAATTCGTCTCCGACTTTACTTTCTTTTTAATTTATTTATTTGTGCACACAGAACTGGCCAGAGGCTCAGGGGCGGTGAGAGGCTTCACCATAGACAGAGCTGGAAGCAGAACAGACAGATGGAGGAAGTACACTGCTGAGGGGAGCAGTGGGCGGGTCAGGAGAGGTCTGCCTCACCATGTGGTCACCTCCAGGGCAGGCGGGGATCGAACTCATGCGGAAGTGGCTTTAGCTTCTTAGTGCTGTGCTTTAACCCGCTGCACCACCAGGGAGGGCCCTCTTTTTTTTTTTTTTTTAAGATTTATATTATTTATATATGCGGAACTGGGGTACAGGCCAGAGGTGCAGGGGCAATGAGAGGATTCACTAGAATCCTCTCAGATTCTGAGTGGGGAGAAGAATAGGCAGATCCACGAAGTACACTGCTGAGGGGAGCAGTGGGAGGGTCAGGAGAGGTCTGCTACGCCATGTGGTCACCTCCAGGGCTGGGATCGAACTCCTGCTGAAGTGGCTTTAGCTTCTTAGTGCTGTGCTTAACCAGCTGTGCCACCAAGGAGGGCCAATATAGGTCTTTTTTAAAAAAATCACGTGGTAGGACCTCCCTGGTGGCACAATGTGTTAAAATGCAGCACTGTCAAGCTAGCTGTGGCTGCTTCAGCACGAGTTTGATCCCCCGCAAGGGAGGTGACACACAGGGTGTGGCAGACCTCTCCTGACCCACCTGCTGCTCCCCTCAGCAGTATACCTTATGAATTTCCCTGTTCTGCTCCCCACTCTGTCTCTGGTGAATCCTCTCACCCCTGCACCTCTGGCCTGTACCCCAGTTCTGTATGCATAAATAAATAAAATTTTTTATTATTAAAGATTTTTATTTATTCGTACAGAACTGGGGTACAGGCCAGAGATGCAGAGGATGAGAGGACTCACCAGGGACAGTGGGGAACAGAACAGGCAGATTGGCGAAGTACACTGCTGAGGGGAGCAGCGGGCGGGTCAGGAGAAAGTCTGCCACGCCATGAGGATCTCCTCGGGGTAGGAGGGAATCGAACTCATGCGGAAGTGGCTTCAGCTTCTTTGTGCTGTGCTTTAACCCGCTACGCCACCAGGGAGGGCCCATAAATAAATATTTTTTAAAAAATTACATCTAGCTACTGGTGGGAATGCAAACAAGTACAATCACTATGGAAAACTGTTTGGAGATTCCTCAAAATGCTAATTATGGAGCTTCCATATGACCCAGCAATCCCACTCCTAGGAATCTAAAAGACGCAAAAACACTGATTCAAAAAGATACCTGCACCCCCACGTTTACTGCTACTTTATTTACAATGGGAAAGACATGGAAACAGCCCAAATGCCCAAAAGTAGATGACTGGATTAAAAAGATGTGGTACATATACACGATGGAATATTACTCAGCAACCAAAAAAAATACATAAACATATGCCTTTTGCAGCAACATGGATGGAGCTGGAAAAGATCATGCTTAGTGAAATAAGCCAGAAAGAAAAGGAAAAATACGGGATGGTTTCACTCATAGCAGGAATATAACGGACCAGGCAAGAAAATAATGAACAGCTATATACCAGAGACATTTTGTGGGGGTGGAGTGGGGAATGGGATAAAAAACGGAGGGTGGGGGGGAGAAAGAAGTGCACGGGAATATGATGATGGCACATAGGTGACTCGGTGATGGGAAACCCACGGGGATTACAATTGAGATGGGAAAAAAATGTACAAAATGATGTAAAAATAAACTATTATATTATTTTTAAAATGTGCATTACTTAAAATTTATAATGCAATCAATAATATGGGGAAAAAGGAAAAAGAAATAAAACACTCAAAAAAAGAAAAAAAATTACGTGCTAGAACACAAACTTTCAAAAAGCAAGGGGAAGCTGTAATAAACTCTGATTCTGGAGTTTCTTAGCTTGACTTAAAGTGTGGCCCCGGCTTCCTCCTACCACTGGTATGATCCACCATAAATTGCTCCACAGCTCTGTGATCCAAATACCTCATCTTTGAGAAACCTGCCAGATAAATACACCACTTCAAATTGTTGAAAAGATGCCTAGCACGTGGTTGGCACGCAACAAATATTGACAGCTAATAGTGTCAACACTGCGCTAATTTTATAGCGCTGTCAAAGTAATGCCACCTTCCAGACGCTCCTATCCCATCTGAAGGCGTTCTAACCAAACTTCATTTCCCAGAAGGCTGTGTTATACGGTAGCCGAGGTCCGGAATACTGACTGGTGTATGCACTCCAGGCCTCCTCTGGGAAATGGAGTCCACTGCCCAAGCTGCGCAAAGGCTCCCGGGAGTTGTAGTTCGCATCGGTTCTGAGCAAGCGCAGTTTCCTTCGGAGGCTTGCAAGTGTGCTCCTTTGTGGCGGTCGCTGTCCCTTTGTGGACCCCTCTGGTCGGTTTGTCCTCAGCCGAGGGTCCTGTCTGCCATACACCCTCTGTGTCCACTGGCTCCGGGAGGCTTAGCCGGAGACTTACCCTGGCCTCGGGCCCTGTCCTCAGGAGAACGGTGTGACGGGCCGTGTACAGGGCGGGTGATGGGGCGAGAGCGCAGCCTGGGGTGTGGTGCGCTGGCTGAGCAAGACTGACCCGCACCCCAGTGGGCTTGTGATCGTTGAGCCGCGATTGCGTGTGCAATCTCCCCCGGAGCTCCCTTGCAGGCCGCCGACCCTGAGCCCCAGGGGCAGGACCCGCTCCTCTGGGGCTAGCCTGGGGCCCAGGAGGCTGCAGAGCTGCCCAGTCTCCGGGAGACGCTGCCGAGGGGCGCCATGGAGACCCCTGCCCCGAAATCCGAGGAGACAGGTACAGTTGACTCTTAGTGGGTCTGTGGATTTGCGCTTGAAGAGATTGACACTGAGAGAGGTCAGTCTAGTTTCCCAGAAGTACCCACTATAAGCAGGCCTCCTGTCTTTTCACCGTGCACAACCATTTATTCCCAATGTTTCAAGCATGTTGATGATAGGAAGGGAATGGCAGGGTTTTCCCTCATTCACTGGGGTGTCTGAGACACTGAGCAGCAGTGTCTGATACCGTATTATAATATGCAGGTAATGGGGCTCATTTCCCATCCTACCTGTGGAAAATAGTTCTTGGCTCTTCTCTGATACCCCCCAACCCCCCTTGCAGGGATGGAGTGGGCTCATTGATGTCCCTGGTGGCTATGGGCCCTCTTGACTCCTTTCTCCTTGCCAGCTCCACCATCACAGGACCCCGCTCTTCCCCTCAAAGAGAATCCAGAGGATAAATTGGGTCAGGGTCTCCTGGAAGCCAGGTCTGAGGTGAGTGACTGTCTTTACTTCCTCCCGAACATCCTCATGAAGTGAATTGGTACCTTCCTTCCCTACCCAGAATCTTTTGTCATCCCAGGACCTCCATTTGGGATCATGCTCTTAGACTCTTAGGAAGTCATGTGTATAGAAACTGTTCAGGTCAAAGGCAATATGAGAGATGCCCAGGTGTGCCTTTCCAATGAACTCTCATCAGTGTCCCTTCCAGTCTGATTCAGTCCAGAAAGTAGATCAGTCCAAGGATGTCTGAGGTTTTAGTGGAAACCCAGTAAATAGGTGACAACTCACATGCAATCACTTTGCTCTGCTCCACATGTCAGCCTCTGGCAAGTTTGTGGCAGTTGGTCATTTTTTAAAGAAGTGTTGTGGGATGGAAACAGGTATGTATGTGAGGAGAGGGGGCAACAGTTACACCAGAATTGGGGTGAGATTAATGGTAGGTTATGGCTCTGTGTACTTTTCCTCTCTACGTGCCTTCATGGAGAAACCTGCAGATTTAGATGTTCTAGGACTTCGGTAAAGAATTGGTGCTAAGACCCAAAACCCTCCTTTGTGTTTTGCTTTTCATTTTCTTCTACCACTTAATTCACCTCCACTCATCATCATATTTAGAAAAGTATAGAGAATGTAGGACAGTGAAAAAATCTGGAGGGTTGAATTTTTAAGAATCTTTTTGATTCTGTGAACCTCCACTTGAGAGAAGTAAGAACTCTGATTCAGAAAGGTTGAAATAGTTGTAAAACATAAAACATGTACTGTGAGGTGTTCCTAGATTCCATAGGTGTTAGGATGACCTAACTCCTCTCGTTCCATGAAACTCTGGAGACATGGTGGTCCCATGTACTACATGCTCCTCGACGGGTTACAGATCCAAGAGAACAGGTTAAAAGACAGTTTGGGACAAATGAGAAAATTTGAAAGTGGGTTGTATCCTGGATCATGTTATAAGAATATGAACTTTTGGGTGTGATGACAGCACTGTGATTACATGATAGAATGAACATCCTTAGTAGATACAAGCCGAAGGAACCAGAGTGAGATATTGTGATACCTGCAGCTTACCTTGGCTCAGCGAAGTGTGCTTGTGTTTGTGTGAGCGACTGCCTGCAGGGAGCTAGTACCCTTCTTGTGCACAGGGGTCATCCCTACAGGGTCATTCCTAGGTACCTAAGTTGCTGGGCCTCTTCTGCTGCATACCGTCTCACCCTCATTCATGGAAGTGTTCTGCTCTCCGGTACCAGTCCCATGGTCTGTCCTGATCTCTGTGCTAGTTTTGTTATCACCTCTGCATTTGATTTCCACATATGCTCTCTGCACTTTTCGTTCCCTGTGCTGCAGATGAAGACACACGAGGTAGGAGCTCCTCTCAGTGGGCTGGGATACCCCCCTGAAGAACCTATGCAAGGACCCTATTTTGCACATTGACACACTCATACTGAAGCCACACACCCTCTAATGGCTCCTCTCAACAGCATCACATTCTGATGTTTCCAGAACTTTGTTTATGCCTGGTTTCTCCTTCCCTCTGCTAATGCCACAGTCATCTTTCCTCTCTGCATGTCTCTGTTATGAGTGTGTTCTCAGCGTGTACCCACACTCCCACCTTCTCATCGCCCTGAAATTCAGTGGGGTATTTGGGATCAGAATTACTGAGGTAGAATTTGTATATAATCAAATTCTCCAATCTTAAGTGTAGGATTTGATGAATTTTGGGTAAGTGTGTCCAGTGAGCACCACAATCATGACCAAGAACATTTCTGTCACCCAAAAGGTTCCCTCTTATCCCTTTGGTTGGTTTTTGGCAAGTGTGGTACTGTATCAGTCAAACCTGCATTAACTTCTTTGTATGCAGGAAATTTATTTCTGGGGTATAACGTTCCCACTCTTTATTAGTGCTGCTCTCATGGGTTAAAAACACCATTTTAAGGCCCTCCCTGGTGGCGCAATAGGTTAGGACACAGCACTGCAAGCTAGTCGCAGCCACTTCAGTGCAAGTTTGATCCCAGGCCCCAGAGGTGATTTGCATGGTGTGGCAGACCTCTCCTCACACGTCCGCTGCAGACCTCTCCTCACACGTCCGCTGCTCCCCTCAGCAGTGTACTTCATCCATCTGCCTGTTCTGCTCCCCACTGTGTCTCTGGTGAACCTTCTTAACGTCCCTGTACCTCTGGCCTATACCCCAGTTCTGTATGAATAAATAAATAAATCTTTAAAAAAAACCACCATTTTAATTTTGTTGTAATTTTCATTTCGCTGACAAAAATCATTCATCTTTTTTTAAGCCCATTGAAAATTTGCATTTACTCTTCCCTGGATGACTTCTTCCTGTTGTTTTTTGTTGTTGTTGTTGTTTTTAACATTTAAACAAAATAATGTTTTATGCACCTATTTTACAAAATCAACAAATGTCTCCATTTTGTCATGTTTGCTCCAGATCATTTTTAAAACATAAAGTATAGTGTATAAAGCAATGTATTCTTTGCCTCTTTTCCATTTCCTTCCCCTTTTTAACCTGACCCCTCTGCAGCAGTATCAGAGCAAACATGGAAGGACCTCTTGCAACCTGCCTGGGGTGGATAGGTGCTGCACACAAGGCAGCTACTCAGCTGCTTCTCACCAAGATGCAGGAGCATGAGTCCTACCTCAGCACCAGTGTCACCAGAGTTCATAGACAGCAGCCCCTCAGCCTGGCCCCCAGTCATGTAGCTAGAACAGTCAAGAGTAGGGAGCCCTAAGCCTTCCCTGGTGGTGCCAGGGGTTAAAGCACAGCGCTCTGGGGCCCTCCCTGGTGGAGAAAAGGGTTAGAATGCAGCACTACAAAGCTAGCACTATAAAGTTAGTGGCATGAGTTCGATCCCCAGTCAGGTAGCTGACCCACATGGCATGGCAGACCTCTCCTGTCTTGCCCACTGCTTCCCTCAGCAGTGTACTTCTCAGTCGGCCTGTTCTGCTCCCCACTCTGTCTCTGGTGAATCCTCTCACCACTCCTGTACCTCTGACCTGTACCCCAATTCTGTATGTATAAATAAATAAATCTTTTTAAATATATAAACACAACACTCTGAAGTTGTCCACAGCCACTGCAACACGGCACAAGTTCAATTCCTGAGCAGGGAGCTGACCCCCATGGCACAGCAGACCTCTCCTATCTCATCTGCTGCTCCCCCCAGCAGTGTATTTCAGTCAATCTACTTGTTCTGCTCCCCTCTCTGTCTCTGGTGAATCCTCTCACCCCCCGGTACTTCTGGCCTGTATCCCAGTTCTTGTATGTATAAATAAATAAATCTTTAAAAAAAAAAAAAAAGAAAGAAAGAAAAAGACTAGGGATCCTAGGCAGGCCTTTAGGCTCAGACCCTGGGCGTCTTTCCAGCAGATGGTGGAGCTGTCTAAGGTGCACGTCTGGGTTTTCATAAACTACCTGGTACTGTGTGTGGTTTTAGACAGTTCCATGATGAGCATCACACTGTGCTTGGCTCCCTAAACGAACTTCAGCACCTATTGCTGTATCCTTAAGAGCTCCCCATGAGGACCATGTGGTCCAGCTCTTCATTTTCTCAGTTGTACAGTCTCCTGTTGTGTATCCAACCCTCCCAGTCAGCAGTCAGGTGTTTTCTGTTACTCTGACTAGGTAGGAATCTGAAAGTGGACTTTCAAGGCACAGGGAACCACACTCTCAGTCTTACTAGTGATGGTAGAACCACTTTCCAAAACAGATGACCCCATTACCACCCAGTGGGCCTGTGGACCCACCCACGCTTGATAGTTCGGTCCTTGTATGTTTTGCCTCTGCTGTGTGTGAAACTTTTCCATTTCTGGATCCTAGTGAAATTGAATATCTTCCCTCATGTTTACCAACCATTTGAGAATCTTCTGTGAATTCTATGCCCATTTCTCTCTTGTTTTTCTTAGTGTTTTGTCACCGTTCTATGCAGAAATTGTAAGCTTTCATGGAGCAAATACATCTCATGATTTCTGGGCTTCCTGTCATGTGTTCATGGACTTACAGAACCTTGTCTCCCAGAAGTCTTCAGATTTAGATCTTTGTCCTACCTGATTTTTAGTTTTGTGTGTGGTATGGAGGATGGTTTAATCTTGCTTACTCATCATGCTGACATTTGTCTTAGTCACCTCAATCTGCTATAACTAAATATCACAGACCAGTGGCTTAACCAACAGAAACTTACTGTCTCACAGTTCTGGAGGCTGGAAGTCTATGATCAGGGCCAGCAGGGTCAGTTTCTGATGAGAACTCTTTTCCAGGCTTGCAAACACCCCTCTTCCCATGTCCTAATGTGGCCTTTCCACAGTGTGGAAAAAAGAGATCTCTGGGTTTCTTTTTATAGGACCACCAGTCCTATTTGACTAGGACCCACCCTTTGGTAATCTTAACTGCCTTCAAAGGCCTGTATCTCCAAATACAGTCACATCAGAGTCAAAATTTTAACATATGACTTGGGGAGGAGGGCGTACTCTGTCCACAACAACACTGATAACTATATAAAAACAGGAAGGCAGGCCCAATGCCCTGTGACTACAGAGGTCCTGCTTTCTCTGACCTCACGGTAGGTGCTACTGCCTCATTTCAAAGTTTGGTAGATAGTCTGTGTCCCCTTATCTGATGTCACTGCTGCTGCACGTCCAGGGCTTCAGGGAGACCTGGTGACCCTTGGGAGCATGACACCACTACTTATTCCCCAGCAAGTACTTCCCAGGTGAGAACCGGGGTCTCCCTTCCTTGATTTATTCTTCATTATTATGTTCCACGTAATGTCTTCTGTACAGTTTCAGCTAGGCTTCCAGTATCTCTGAAGAGAGAAGAAATTAGTCAGCAGCTGCTTGCTGAGCGGTCTGCCTACCTTTGCTGCCCTAGGTCAGTGCTTCTCTCCTTGTGCTGGGAAACCCCCCAGAGGCACCTTTCCCATGCCTTTCTGTGCTCTGCTGGCCCTCCCTCTCCCCTAGCTTCTAGGAGTCATGATGGGTCTTCAGAGCTTATTTGCTAACAAGGAGGAGCCAGTTTGGTTGGATGAGTGTGGAGACCATTGTGAGCAGCAGCCTGGAAGGGCAAATGAATCCCAACCCATAGAAGAGCCATGTGTTTCAGAGGTGACCTTATTGGGGGCTGTCATTGATACTTGGAACCAGAATAACCAAAGGGCAAAGGGGGTTATTCAAAGGTTATTAGTATAGACCATGATAGGCCAGGAAGACAGGGAGCCCCTGAAGGAATTGAGGGGGGGTAAGGGCACAGGCAGGAAGGACATGGAGCAACTCCCTTGGTCACTTGGACACAGAACTTACTGATAATTACAAGGTTTTCTTCCTCAGGGTATAATAATGGCTATCGTCTGGGGTTGAGTCCTTCTGCAGTGCTAATATTTGAGTTGGGTTTCTGGGTTTTTGTATCATTCTTTCCCGTGTTGGCCCTGAGCCCATTTGGGACTTACAATAGATATCTACAGAATAATCTTCTATGCTCAAGAGGTCACCTGAGGTTAACCCTTTACTCCTAAGACCTTCAGTCAACATGTGGTCAGGAACACTGCCATGCTGAGTGAATGAGAACATATCTTTCATTCCAGGAATCAGTGACTTTCAAGGATGTGGCTGTGGACTTCACTCAGGAGGAGTGGGGCCAGCTGGACTCCCCTCAGAGGGCCCTGTACCGGGATGTGATGCTGGAAAATTACCAGAACCTTCTTGCCCTGGGTAAGACAGCTCTCCAAGGCTCAGAGTCTGCAGTCCACTCATTCTTCAATGCATAGGCAATACTGAACCTCCTTTATCACGCCCTCATGCTGGGCCTTTCAGGAAGTGATCTCTGTGCCTGGGTATATGTGGCAGGTCAGCAATCCCCTGAGTGTCCATGCTTGGAGATGTGACTGGTCCAGAGGAGGGGGAGTAAGGTAGGACAGAGAATTGGGAGCCTAGCCTGCCTTGAAGTTTTTCCAGAAAGATGTCAGTACCTGTGGGATTGTCGTTGTGCATACCTCAATTTGAGTTCCCTGTCTGAGAGCCCTCCCATCCCCGGGTCTGGCACATCTCTCTCAGTGCTGACTCCCAGGCCTGCTGTTAGTTATTCTAGAGAGTCCAGTACAGTACACAGAGCCATGCCACTTTCTCTTGAGCAGGGCCTCCAGTTTGCAAGCCAGATGTGATCTCCCATCTGGAACGAGGAGAGGAGCCATGGTGGGTGCCCAGTGAAGTCTCTGGAGGGGCTCGTGCAGGTGAGCAGGGGACACAATGGAAAGATGTGGAACTCCCGCCCTTGGTACCCCATGTGTCACGACACATCGAAAGTTGCTTTCTTCCCACAGACCCACTGCCCAAGTTCTAGCCATACTTGTTCAGTACCCTTTCTAGACCCCTCCCTGCTTGCCTTCTTAACTCAATACATGTAGCTGGCATTCTGTGTCAGGAATACAGTACTGAACATAATAGACAAAGGCATCTGCTTTCTGCAGTGTATATAAGTGTACAGAAATATTTAACAAGAATCAGCCTGCAGAGCAAAAGAGACAGAGCAGGAGGTCATATGCTCTAAATTCACAGGTCACAGAATTGCTCCAGAATGTTCTCTGGTGTGCAAATTAGTAAGAGTCTTATTTAATTTTTAAAAGGATATATGTACATCTCAGAAACCGAGAGTGTATTTACAATTTCAAGTGTTCTAAAGGAAATGCTAAAAAAAAGTTGGGGTCTCCTTCTGGCACCAGGAAATTTAAATTGGATTATTGTTTTAGACTTGTATTTACCCCCTGTTCATGCCCAATTCTTTTTTTTTTTTTTTTGTAAGATTTATTTCTTTATGTATACAAGAACAGGGGTATAGGCTAGAGGCGGGGGGCGGGGTGGTGTTTAGAAGCTTCACCAGAGACAGAGTGGGAAGCAGAATAGGCAGATCCGCTGGAATACACTGCTGAGGGGAACAGCAGGCAGGTCAAGAAAGGAGAGGTCTGCCAAGCCATGTGGGTCAGCTCCCTGGTTGACTATCAAACTTGGTGCTGCAGTGGCTGTGGATAGCTTCATAATGCTGCACTTTAACCCATTTTGCCACATGGGAGGGCCCATGCCCAATTCTAACATAACAATTGTTCAATTGATGTTCGAAATGTTTTTTAAAAAAATCAGCTGAGCATATTTAAAGATCTTTCTGGCTTTATACTTTATTGGAGGTAACCTCCCATTAAGTAGATAGAAAGCTGTACAAATTGAAGGACTTTTATAGGCAGAAGGATGCAGGGAAGGGAAGATTCTAGTAAAGAGTGGATTATTTCAGACAAGATCACCAAGGGGAAAGAAGGTTTTATTAGGCAGATTACAAGATAGGAAATTCCATACTAACTGGTTGAGATTGCATTCCTGGGAGAGGCTGACTGTAATTAGGTAAGGTATTGATCTTCGTTTGGTGTCTTGGGATTAGCACAAGTGACTCCATTTTGGGGTCATTGTGTCTTTTTAAACAAATGAATCATCTCCACCCCAGACCTCATAAGCTCTGTTCCTTTGCTAGTATCAGCTCTTTTTAGAATTCCCATGGCTTCTGTTCTTTCACCCCTTTCCCCATTCCTGTTCACTTATCAGCTCACCCTGGGTACACTCCCTTATCTCCCTGCCACCCCACTCTTTTGGTCTGCCCTTTTTTGCTCTCATGCTTTCCACGTCTCCAGGCTGATCTCAAGTCTGAGTTCTAGTGACACATATCTTGCTTACAGAAAAATTGCATTTTCCTTTTCTCACAGAGTGGGATCCTTTGCCTGAGCTTTCTCAGCAGCAGGATTTTCACAAAGAAGAGCCATTGCAGGAGCCAATGATAGAGTGGCTGGTGAGACCCAGTCTTCACAGCTCCAGTTCAGGCACCAGATGGTCCTGGGAGGGCCCTGCAGGGGGAGCTCTGTCCAGAAGTGAGACTGTTCTCTGGAGGCAAACACTGGACAGCTGTAGGGGTATTTCCATGGAGAAATGCTGGCAGGAGTATGAGGTTTCTGAGGATTCTCCCCTCAGGTACACCATCTTCACCCAGCAGAGCCTTCTTTCAGATGGAGGCTCTCCTGACAACCACTTGGAGAATTTGCAACTGAGTGAGACAGTTACCAAACACCAGAGAGCATACCCAGGAAAAAATATGTGCAAGTCAAATAAACAGGGAAAATACCCACTTGCCAGCAGGCAGCAGGGAGCCAGTGCCAGAGATGATCTCTTTGTGTGTAGTGAGTGTGGGAAAGCCTTCCATCAGAACTCTTCCCTCACTCTGCACCGGCGCTGGCATGCACGAGAGAAAGCCTACAAATGTAAGGAGTGTGGCAAGGCCTTCACCTGGAGCACCAACCTCATTGAGCACCAGAGAATCCATACTGGGGAGAAGCCCTTCTTCTGTGGCGAGTGTGGGAAAGCCTTCAGCTGCCACTCGTCACTTAACGTACATCACAGAATTCATACTGGTGAAAGACCCTACAAATGTAACACCTGTGAGAAGGCCTTCAGCTGCAGCTCACTACTCAATATGCACCTCCGGGTCCACACTGGGGAGAAGCCCTACAAGTGCAGTGAGTGTGGGAAAGCCTTTAACCAGAGGACTCACCTGACTCGGCATCACAGAATCCACACTGGGGAGAAACCCTACAAGTGCAATGAGTGTGGGAAGGCTTTCACTTGTCACTCATCCCTGACCGTGCATGAGAAAATCCACAATGGGGACAAGCCATTTAAATGCACTGAATGTGAGAAGGCTTTCAACAACCGTTCTCGCCTGACTCTCCATCAGAGGATACACACAGGGGAGAAACCCTTCAAGTGTAGCGCCTGTGGGAAGGGCTTCAGCTGCCACTCCTACCTCATTGTGCATCAGCGGATCCACAGTGGGGAAAAGCCCTTCAAGTGCAACGAGTGTGGAAAGGCTTTTAGCTCCCACTCCTACCTCATTGTGCACCAGCGGATCCATACAGGCGAGAAACCCTTTGACTGCAGCAAGTGCTGGAAAGCCTTTAGCTGCCACTCATCCCTCATTGTGCACCAGCGGATCCACACAGGGGAGAAGCCTTATAAATGTAATGAGTGTGGCAAGGCATTCAGCCAAAACCACTGTCTCATCAAACATCAGAAAGTCCATTCTGGGGAGAAGTCACTGAAATGTAAAGAGTGTGGTGAGGTGTTCAGCTGGAGCGCCCACCTTATAGAACACCAGAGAACACACAGTGAAAAGAAGCCCTTTGCCATCCAATTCAACAAGCATTTACTGAGCACATACTACATGCCCAGTACCCTGCTGGGTGCAGGGGGTACAGGAGTAAGTAGTATGGACTCAATAAATGCACTGGATGTGGCAAAACTCCTGTGTGTAGTTCAGCCCCCAGCCAGCAGAAATTTCGTGCTGGGCACCAAACCAGGGAATTAATATAACTTTTCCTGATAGTGGTCCATCCCTTCACCCGACCCAAGGGTGAGCTGGGGAAGCAGGGTGGCTCATGTACATATGCCGTTGGCACTTCCAGATGGCAAGCCTACCCTCCCATGCCAGGCCACCTCCTGGAAATGGACCCACCTCAGAAGAGAAGAGATGCTGGCCATTTGGGGATGCATTTTCCTTGATGAGTTTGGAAGTCACTGACAAAGGGAATCATCTTTCCTGAAGTTAAAAAGTAGATATTTCTGTCATTGCCCTCTGACCAGATCCTGGTGTTTCAATCTGGAATATCCTCTGTGAACTGTTACATTTAGAGTAACAATAAGAATCATAATAAAACCGAAGAATTGCAAGCAGCAGTACTTCCAGTGAACATTATTATTTTCTAGGAGCAGGTGGTGAGGGCTTGGCAAGAAGCACATTTCCTGGACTTACCCTGCAGAGTTGGTGACAGTGCTATCACAGGATAGCCCAGCAGCAGGGTAGCTGGGGACTGATGTGACAGCACCACAGTTGACCATTTAGTCCATGGGGGTAAATTAGGAGCTCTCAGGCAGGTGCCTGGTGCATCCAGAGAAGATGAATACAGAATGGATGTTTCCAGAAGTGTGCCTTCACCCAAGCAGGTGAGGCTGCCCTGCAGAGCCTTTCCTTGGCACGTAGCTGAGCTCACCAACTCAGCTCCACTGGAGGAGTGCTCCATGTGCTCTCCACAGAGGACTTCATCTGGAACTAGTATTAGTTCAACTTTGTCCTAAGCGAGTATAAGCTGCCTTCCAGTGATAATACTTTATGTTTGTATAGAGGCCTATAGTTTATTAAATGCGTTTAGCTTACCTTTTAAAGTATGGAGGCAAAATAGCCACATTTCAAAAAATGTGGAATTGAAGAGGTAGTGCCTCTCTCAATAAAACCGCATTTCGCACTTTGATGCATTACCGTCTGCTTTTTCATACTGCATTTTTACATAACTCTGAACATGGTGTGTATATATATATATATGTGTGTGTATATATGTATATACATGCACATATATCATACATATATATCTTTCTATCATTTTTCCACATAGCTGCGTGGCAGAATTTTTTCAAGTATGTGAACTGTCTTTGGAGTCACAATTCTAAATGTAGGCATAGTATTCTGTCTGTTCCATTAGATCTTTTGTTGGCTGTTAAAGTTATCTCTGTTTTTCACTATTACAAGTCATTCTTCATGAGCATCTTTTTGCATTATGCTTCTTTATTGTTTTAGAGTAATTACTTAGAAGTAAAAAATTTTAGATAAAAATCTAAAAGGGATCACTTTAATATGTTTTTGGTTGTATGGATACAAAGTAACATTGACCATTACGAAGTAACCGATCAGCAGTACTGCCCCCCTGCACACCCCTCTCTGGACATAGGCTGGCTGGGAGCTGAGTGTGTGCAAATCGTCTTTGCTCTGCTCAGTGTGGGTCCTGGGAGCGCAAGTCAGCCTGGCATTCTGCAGCCCCAGGCCCTTTCTTCATGACAGAGAAAATTCTGTTTTGTGACTGTGTTGGTAAAAGATAAATATAATCTAGCCTGATTCATTATTGTCATACTGACTTCTCTTCTTTGGAAAGAAATTATAAAGGAAACATCTTTGTGGGGTATGGACACCCTACAGTGTGCACCACATGCCATTAGTAAGCAGTTGAAAGCAGCACCTTACTATTCTGCTTCACACCTTTGGTAATTAATGAAGTAGAATAATGAACATGTTCTTTTTTATTGTTTTATTTTTTGTGTAGAACTGGGGTGCAGGCCAGAGGTTCAGTGCGGGGTGAGAGGGTTCCCCAGAGACAGAGTGGAAGCAGAACAGGTGGATGTACTGAAATGCACTGCTGAGGGGAGGAGCAGGCAAGCAGGAGAAGTCTGCCACACCATGTGGGTCAACTCCATGGTGGGGGATTGAACTTAGGCCCTAGTGGTTATAGTGCCACTAGAGAGGACCTGAACACATTTTTATTATTGGCATTCTTAAAAGTATTTGTACCTCTTGCCTATCTTTCCACTTTAGATGTTTTTCTTTTATTTGCATATAAACTTTCTTTTCTGATTATGTGAGTGATATATGTATATTGAATACTTTTTTTTAAAATCAGATTATAATAAAAATAACAGTGTCAGTTCACAGTCATTACTTGGATATGCATTTCCTTCTGGTTTGTGTGTGTGTGTGTACTTTTAAAGCAAAACTGGGTTCATGATCTGCATGTTATTTTTATCCTCTAACATTTTTTTCTAAGATTTTTACTTATTTATGCATACAGAACTGGAGTACAGGCCAGAGGTGCAGGGGCGGTGAGAGGATTCACCAGGGACAGAGTGAGGAACAAAACAGGCCGACTGAGGAAATACACTGCTGAGGGGAGCAGCGTGTGGGTCAGGAGAGGTCTGCTGTGCCATGTGGATCACCTCCAGGGCAGGGGGTTGAACTCATGTTGAAGTGGCTTTAGCTTCTTAGTGTTGTACTTTAACCCACTGCATCACCAGGAAGGGCCTATCCCCTAACATTTTATGATGAGCTTTTTCATGTTATATTTGCCAAAAGCTATTCATGGCTACATTATTTTCTAATGATTTATTATCTGTTTCCTTGTCAAAAATCATAATTATCTGTATCTATAGTTATTCTGGAACATCAACCTATATGCTCATCTTGATTATTTCTCAAGATAAATTCTCAGAAGTGGAGTTAGCTGACAGATGTCATGAATACTATAAAGATGTTGCTGTTTCCAGGCTGAACAAACATGATGCTCATGTCCTCATGGGATGGGGTGGGGTGGACTCACATATCTTGTCAGCTTGGCATTATCCTTGCGATTTCTGCCATTTTGATACATCAGGAATGTTGTTATTATTATTAGTTTGTATTTTTTTAATCTTTTCCTCTTCATCTAATTTGTCTATTTCTGTCTTTTATCCATTATTACATTTATTTGTGGATAAATGGACACAAGTATGGACATACATGTACACAAACACAAGCACACACATGTATATTGGATTGACACATTTTCTTTGTTACAGCATTTTTAGTGTGCAGTTCTTGAATTCCATGTAGTCTATTTTAATTTTTTTTTTAAAGATTTATTTTCTTATATACATACAGAGCTGAGGTACAGGCCAGAGGTCCAGGGGTGGTAAGAGAATCCACAGAGTGGGGAGCAGAGCAGGCAGATATATGACGTACACTGCTGAGAGGAGCATGGGCAAGACAGGAGAGGTCTGCTGTGCCATGTGGGTCACCTCCCTGCTGGAAATCGAACTTGTGCTGAAGCGTCTGCATCTAGCTTCATAGTGCTGCACTTTAACCTGTTGCACCACCAGGAAGGGCCCTATTTGATTTTATATTTGAAAATATAAAAACCTTTATATTTTTCTCTGGTCCTTAAAAGTCCCCTTCCTGGCCCTCCCTGGTGCACAGCGTGTCAAAGCACAGCACCAAGAAGCTTAAGTCACTTCCGCATGAGTTCGATCCCTGCCTGCCCCGGAGGTGACCACATGGCGAGGCAGACCTCTCCTGACCCGCTGCTCCCCTCAACAGTGTACTTCCTCGATCTGCCTGTTCTATTCCCCACTTTGTCTCTGGTGAATCCTCTCACCCTCTGCATCTCTGGCCTGTACCCCAGTTCTGTATGAATAAATAAATCTTTAAAAAAAAAAAAAAAGTCTCCTTCCTTAACTCTTCTTTGGTTCCATAGTTTACATTTAATTCTTAAATCTATCTTTTTTGGGACATAAAGTCCAAGGTATGGATGTAAAGTCCATTCTTGAATTGCATTCCTCACTGCTCTGTAGACCTGTCTTTCTGTCTGTAACTTAGGAGCAGGACCACATTTTAAGCAAGCTTGTAAAAAGCCAATTTAATCTGGAGTCATGTCCTCAGAACTCAATCCCTTCATGCCTCTGCATAGCTCATTGAAATTTTGGTTAGAACTGACTGATTTATAAATTAAAGAATGTGGTAGATAACTGTTCATTCATGTATCTGCCTCCAACCATCACAAAAGTTTTCTTGTAGCTCTTCTTACACTGACTCTTAGGTTAGCTTAATTTTGTGGAGCTTATAAATCAGGTTTTTTTCTGAGATATATTGATGGCAGATATGTTTTGTATGACTGTTAGTCTAGAAATTCTCAATGGTTTATAAGTTTATGGGTTTCCAGGTAAACTGTCACTCTTGGAAATAAAAACTTGCCTCTCTTTTTATTTCATTTGTTTTAACACCCACATTGACTCATATCTTCCAGGCCAACCAGTATATCTCAACAGAAGTTAAATACAAAGCCAGTATCTTTTAGGAACGAAAGTCAACTAGCACCCTTTCCATAGTCTAACTGCATCATTTATGTTAATAAAAATTTGGATTTCAGTGAGGTCAAATTGGAGATGTCTCCACTTCCAACCCTTCGCCTTTGGAACTGTATTTGGAGGTGGTTGTGCTGTCTGCTCAGGTGTATCCTCTCCTGCAGCTCACGGTGGGATCCACCTTCCTACAGGACATTTATCAGTATTAGGCCTCCCTGTGGCAGTGACCCCTCATTGACTGTAGAAGCCACCCTGGGAGCAAACACATGCTTCAGTATGTGGATATGCAGCTGCACTGGAGAAGACCCACCGTCACTGCGGTGCCTTCTAGGGTGAGCTCTGTCTGATTGTGTTACTGACGGTCACTAGAAGGACTCAGACTCAGAAATAGTTATGATTTGTTATGGCAAAAGGATAGCTACAAATCCACAAAGGAGAGAGGTGCTGGGGCAGCGGCCCCAAGAGTCCAGTCACACAACCCTGGATGCCCCTTCCAGTGGAGTTGTGACACGCTGCATTTTTCCAGCAATAATGTGGCAACATGTGTCAAGGGATGCTGACAAGGAATGCTTACCTGGCCTGTAGTGCTCCGGGCTTTTACTGGTTAGTCACACAGGTATGCCACACCCAAGTGACTGACGCCTACCACTTGGACACACCTCCCACCACCGAGTAAAACTAGTCGTTCACAATAAACCACTTTCTCAGGATAAACTCACCTGGTCAAACCTGTACAGCATAGCCCTCTCAGTCACACACGTTGTCTTAATCCACGGAATAGGGAGGACTCAGCTGTGAAAGAAGGACCTTTTTTGAGTCGGTTCTTTCCTGCTCAAGTGTCCTGGGTCCTTTAGGAGGACCCAGAATAGAGACTTGGAGAACAAATCTATAAAATGCATATTTCACAAAGGACCATTATTTCAAATTTCCAACCCAACAATAGCAAAAATGAAAATTTTTTATATTTTAATATATTTATTTGTTTTACATCATTCTTCATTTTGTTATTTTTTCATCTCAGTTGTAATTCCCTTGGACTTCCCACCACCACTTCATCCATGTGCCATCGTCATACTCCCACCCCAGTGGACTTTTCCCACCCCTATAAAATGTCTCTGGCTTATATTTGTTGTTTTTCATTTTTACATTATTAAAATTCTTTAAAAATAAGAATTTAGTGGTAAAGGATTGATCACAAAGATATACAACGAGATGATGAAACTCAACAAAAATAAACAACCCGATCAAAAAATGGGCAGAAGAGCTAAAAAGACACTTCTCCAAAGAGGAAATGCAGGTGGCCAACAAGCATATGAAAAAATGTTCAACATCACTTGTAATAAGGGAGAGGCAAATTAAAACCACCCCAGTGAGAATGGCACATCTTAAAATAACTAGCAACAACAAATGTTGGCAAGGATGTGGAGAAAAAGGAACTCTCCTGCACTGCTGGTGGGAATGCAAACTAGTACAACCACTATGGGAAACTGTTTGGAGCTTTCTCAAACTACTAAAAATGGAGCTTCCATATGACCCAGCAATCCCACTCCTAGATATCTACCCAAAAGACACAAAAACACTGGTTCAAAAAGACACCTGCACCCTATGTTTATTGCTGCTATATTTACAATAGGAAAGACATAAATCAACCCAAATGCCCAAAAGTAGATGACTGGATTAAAAAGGTGTGGTACATATACATGATGGAATATTACTCAGCAATCAAAAAAGATAAACACATACCTTTTGCAGCAACATGGATGGAGCTGGAAGGGATCGTGTTTAGTGAAATAAGCCAGAAAGAAAAGGAAAAATATTGGATGGTTTCACTTATAGCAGGCGTATAAGCGACCAGGGGAGAAAATAATAATAATAGTGAACAACTATAAACCAGAGACATTTTATGGGGTGGAGTGGGGAGTGGGATCAAAAATGGGGGGAGAGTGCACTGGACTATAGTGATGCCACACAGGTGATTTGGTGATGGGAAGTCCACGGGGATTACAACTGAGATGGAAAAAGGCACAAAATGATGTAAAAACAAACATATTATTTATAAAAACAAACATATTATTTATAAAAAAAAAAGAATTTAAAGAAACAAAACCCAACAGCAGAAGTACAATCTGATTTTAAAATGTGTCAAGGCTTTTCCAAGGAAGAAATACAAATGGTCAACAGACATATGAAAAAATATTCAACATCCCTTGGAATCAGGGAAATGCAAATCAAAACCACAATGAGATAGCACCTCACACCAGTGAGAATGGCACATATTAAAACAACTAGTAACAACAAATATTGGCTAGGATATGTGAAAAAGGAACTCTCCTACAATGCTGGGGGGAGTGCAAACTAGTCCAATCACTATGGAAAGGTGTGAGGAGCTTCCTCAGATCACTAAAAGTGGAGCTGCCCTTTGACTATGCCATTTGACTACATA